AGGAGGTGCTAATTTAGCCTCTGCCTGAGGCTACCCAGCAGGAGCTACAGAGAGATCTGCAGATTCCTCTCCCTTGTTTGGGGTTTGGAGGTGCCCAGATGAGGCCCAGCTGTGAAGCAATGCAAGCTGCTGTGGGGCCTTGGGCCTTCTTTTGGAAGTTCTGGGTCTCTCTGACCCAGCTGCAGTTTGTTAGGTAATTTTAGATTGCAAAGGGCCAGGGCATTCATATGCAAAAGCCTCTGCTCGAAGCTTGGGTGGGGCAGGGTCTCAGGGAATCAACAGGGAGGAGCAAACAGCTATGGCTGATCCTCAGCCCTGCCCTATGGGGCCCCGTGTCTCAGTGTCCCGGTAATCGCTGCAAGCACCTCTGAGAGAAAGCCGCCCTCGAGTTCTGCCCAAGGCCAGACAGTCCAGTTTCTCCCCGTATGAGTCTGGGTCCCCAGAGACTCACCTGGAACTGGCGTTCAGAGCCGTCGGGAGCTTGTGTCTCCTTCCCAATTGAAAAAGACAACCGTGTTCTCAGTTGCCAGCCCTTGCCGTGTGCGCCTCCGTACCTCTGCACTTTACTTCCGCACCTCCTCTGAGTCTCAGTGTGCTTTTCTCTTTCCTTCTAGTTGTAGAATTTCCACTCAGCCAGCCTTCCTGTGGTTCTGGATGATGTTCGTTCCGTCTTTTAGTTGTATTTTTGAAGTGGTTGTGCGAGGCAGCAATTTCCGGTGTTTACCTATGCTGCCATCTTGGTTTCTCCTCTCTTTCTTATTTTTTTTAAAAGATTTTTTAAAATTGCTTTTTAGAGAGAGAATAAGGGGGGGGGGGGAGACTGGTCGCTGTCTCTGTGGGCCTGTGTCCTGACTGGGAATCGAACCGTGACCTCCTGGCTCCTAGGTCTGAGCCACCTGGCTGGACTCGCTCTCCTGTTGGTGGACGTGGAGCCCCTGGTGCCTGGCACTGACCGGGTGCCAGGGGCCGTGTTGGTAGCCGTCTGTTAGAGGCCGCCAGCTCCTCCAGCGCGGGGGTGGGGGGGTCCCCCGGCCTGCAGCAGCGGATGGGCATGTCCTGAGGACTGAGGGTGCTGGGCCCCTCTTGGGTCAGCTGCCCCCTCCCGACCACCCCCCCCCCCATTGCTGCCCCCTGGACGTCCCTGTGAGTCGCTAGCCCAGTGTTTTCCTGCCTGTTTTTCAGTTGTGCCTGCGTCTCTCTTTTTGGGGTGCAGCTCCCTGTGCACTGGGGTGGGGGGGCTGCCTGGCAAACTGTTGTGTCTCTTCGCCCAGGGACGGCTTGACCTTTACCCCCCCCCCCCAGGTGCCCTTTGACTAACAGAAGCTCTTTACGGCGTCAGGTGGCTTCTTCTGGCCACTCGGGTCCTGGTTAAGGACTGTTTCCCTCCCCCCAGGCCATTTCCATTCGTCTTGGGAAGTTTGATTTTTTGCGTTTGTTGTTGTTAATCCTCACCCGAGGGTATTTCCCGTTCATATTAGAGAAAGTGGAAGGGAGGGGAGAGGGAGAGACAGAGGCATCGATGCGAGAGAAACATGGATGGGTTGCCTCCTGCATGCACCCCGACCAGGGCCTGGGCTGGGGAGGAGGCTGCAACCGAGGTCCGTGCCCTTGACTGGAATGGGACCTGGGGCCCTGTGTCCGAGGGCCGGGTTCTACTCACTGAGCCACCGGCCGGGGCCTGGATTGTTAAACCTCCCCCTCAGCTCTGCCTCTCCCAGAAACGCACACTTCCTGCGGCCGATGCGGGGCGCCAGGAGCATGTTTCCATTTGGGTGCCAGGGGGCACTGGCTACGGAAGGGCCTGCTGTCTGTCTGCCTGTCTGAGTCTGTTCCTGGGAGTTTGGTCCGGAAGTTCCCTTGGTCTGAATTCGCAGTTGCCTGGTGACTGCCGATGCCTACTGCGTCTGGTCTTGTGCTATTGGTGCATATTTGGGATATGTCTGTTCAAGCCTTTGCCCATCCCCCGCCCCAATATATTTGTATTGATTTCAGAGAGGAAGGGAGAGGGAGAGAGAGTTGGAAACATCAATGATGAGAGAGAATTATGGATCAGCTGCCTCCTGCACGCCCCACCTCCCCGCCAGGGATGGAGCCCACAACCTGGGCCTGTGCCCTGACGGGGAATCTCACCGTGACCTCCTGGTTCCTAGGTTGAGTCTTAACCACTGGGCCACACAGGCCGGGCTCTTTTGCCCATGCTTAATGGCGTGTCTTGTCTTTTTCTATCCTGTTGTGGTTCCGGGTGCCAGTCCTTTGTCAGATACATGCGTTCCTTTTTCATTTCCTGAAGAATTTCCACCCTGGTCGGGTAGGTCAGTGGTTAGAGCGTCGTCCCCCAAAGCCAAGGTTGCTGGTTCGATCCCTGATCACGGCACGTAGAAGCATCAGCCAATGAATGCACGGATGGGTGGAGTAACAAACTGATGTCTCTCTCTCTCCCCCCTTCTTCCCTTCTCTCGAAAATCAATCAACAAAAAAACACACAAAAAAACCAAAACTTTAAACAATGGATGCCTCTCCAGACCAGAGGTGCTTCATGAAGACGGAACGGGCTTAACCCACTTTCTCTTGCGGGTCACGCCTTCCGTGTCCCCGGCGGCCTCGCGCCCCCCGGCCTCCTGCCTGGTGGTAGCTTCGGCCGCACGCTGGGCTCTGTGGTCCCTTTAGACCCATTCTCACGTGTGATGTGAGGCAAAGACCCGGGCCCCCCAATACATATCCCGTCGCCCCGGCACCGCTGGGGGGAAGCGGTTGTTTTTCTTTTGCCATAACTTGCCTGCCTGGCCAAAGCCGCTGAGCACCCGAGGGTGGGTCTACGCAGGACTTTCTCTGTCTACGCCGCACGGCCCCAGCCCCCCGGGAGCCAGAGAAACTCCTCGCTGGCTTAAATCATTTTACACTTATTGAGACCTTCTAAAAAATATGTCTTTATTGAGGAGAGAGAGAGAGAGAGAGAGAGAGAGAGACAGACTTCAGTTGGCTGCCTCCAGCAGGCCTGGCTAGGATTCCAACCAGCGACCTTTTGGCTTGTGGGACGATGCTCAACCAACCGACAGGCGGGCCAGGGCCGGGACATGGTGAATGAGCCGCATGCAGTTGTCTTGGCGACGGTCCCAGGTCCCAGGTGCCCTTAGCGAGCGCGGTGTCAGGCAGCCTGGTCCCCGGTGCCCCGAGGCTGAGGGCGGGCACCTGGGCGGGGTTACAGGCTGCCGTCCCGGAGGGAGGGCCCCCCCCCCGCCCCCGCCCCGGGGGACAGTGGGTCTGCCTGTTTGTCCTCCCGGTTTTCCCATCCATGTTCTAGACTCTGGGGGCAGGTGTCCACGGATCAGGTGCAGGTCGGAGGTGTGACCGCCGCCGCCCATGCTGGGCACGGCCATGGGCCGCCCTCTCCTGCCCCACCTTCGACGCCCGCTGTCCCCCCAGCCCTGCCCCTCGAGGGGCCGCTCGCCTGTGGCCTCTGCTTGTCGCCCACCCGGGCCATTCGCCCCGGGACGCCCCCGAGGCCGCAGACTCTCAGTTCATTATGTTTTCTGGTGAATTATCCCCGATTTCCATTATGAAGGACAATTCTCCATTGCACTACGCACATGTATATTTCTTTGGTTTTACTTTTTTATTTTTTATTCTTGTTTTTCCTTTGGTTTCACTTTAAAACTGCACACACACATATATACATACGTTCAGTTCTAGCATACAGCTAGGTCTCGCTTCATCTCATCTGACAACCCCTACCTTTTGTCTCAAATTGTAAACCCCTTATGTTTAAGGGGACTGTGGATATGGTTGGTGTGAATCCTACTGTCCTGCCAATTGCCCTCTATTTCATCCCATCCATTCTCCACTCCTCTTTCCGTACCTGGTTTTTAGGATTAAGTAAATATGTTTATGTACATAATCACACAATAATACACATAATATGCATACGTCGTGTACATTTATATGTAACATGTTATTAGTATTCCATGTTATTTCCACTATTAGCCTCTTTTCCAACGGGCTTATGGTTTGCATGATGCATTTATTACATTTTTTTGTTAATCCTCACCCAAGGATATTTTTCCATTACTTTTTAGAGAGAGAGGGAGGGAGGGAGGGAGAGAGTGAGAGAAACATCGCTGAGAGAGAGACACATCGATGGGCTGCCTCCCACACGCACCCCGCCTGGGCCGGGGATCGAGCCTGCAACCCAGGAAGGTGCCCTTGACCGGAATCGAGCCCGAGGCCCTTGGGTTCGAGGGCTGGCGCTCCAACCAAGGAGGCCCCGGCCAGGGCTCCCGGCATCGCGCTCTGCTGTTCAGTCTCCGCAGGGAATTTCCGACCCCGGGCTGTCGGCCGGTGTTCTGTTTTTTATAATTTGTTTCTTTATGGCCGTCTTCCTTCACGGATGCCATCTATTTCCCAGTCATCCTTTAAACGTGCTTTCCTTTAGCTTTTTGGACAGTTTTATTCATTTTTTCCAGGTTTCCAGTTTGTTCTCGATCATTTTATTTTATTTTAAATCTTTACCGTTGGAAGCATTACACAGGCGTCCTCTTCCCCCTTAACCTCTGCCAGCCGCGCCCGGCCCCGTCCCCCTCCCCACCCCCCTCCCCGGACAGGTGTGTACAGTTGCTCTGAAGCCTGTGCCCCTGGGAGTCAGGCCCGCCCTGCCCTGCTCCCGGCCAAGGCCTCTGCCCGCCTGGAGTTTCTGTCCGACGCTGGCATCGCCGGCGACACCCTGTGCCGCTCGCTTCCCCCGGGGCTGGGATTGGTTTTTTAGTCACTTTCTTGGAGAAACCTGTGAACTCTGTCGCTTTGTCTGAGCTCCCCCCCTCCTGGCTCCCTGCCCGCCGTGGCCGTGGGCCCGCCCCCGCCCGCCTGCGATCTCGGACTCAGCGTCCAGGACGGGGCGACACCAGCTGGATGTGCACCTGCTCCCGGCCCCACCGCCAGGTGCCCGCCTGCCCCCCCCCCCCCCCCCCCCCCCCCGCTCCACTGACCCAGCCTCTCTCCATCCGCAGTGTCCGGACGGCAGCTGCAGCCCGAGGACCCAGACGCGGACACCGAGGAGGACCGCTCTGTACGTGAGGCCCGGGGGACACCCTCCGCACCCCTTCCCGGGCCTGGGCAGGGCCCGCGGCTGAGGGTAACCTGACTCCCGCCCCCCCCTCCCCCTGCCGCCCAGGTGACTGAAGGGCCCGTGGAGGAGATCATCCGGCCCCGGCCACAGGGGTCCTCGCCCGTCTACGAGTGTGTGACTGAAGGTACCGGCTTCGGACTCCAGGTGAGCCGGCCGGACAGACCCCCGGCTGAGGGAAGGCGCCAGCGGGGCCCTGTGGCCGCCTCCTCTCCCGCATCGCCCCCATGGGCAGCTCACAGGCGTGTCTGCGCAGCCCCGCCGCCCCGCCCGCCGCCCACGGTCACGGCTGTGCCTGATCGGCTGCCCTCTCTGCCCCCACCCCTCCCTTCAGCTGGTCAAGCAGGTGTGCGTACACGTGTGCGCACACACATATATGTATGCATGTGCGCACATGTGTGCATGTATGTGCGCGTGTGTGAGGAGCAGATCTCCTGCTCCTGTGGGCGGCAGGGGAGGAGACAGGTGGTGTCCCACTGCCGAGGCCCTCAGCCCCCTCTGCACGCAGCCCCGCCCGGGGTCCCTGCCTCCCCAGGCCACTCGGTCCCTGGGCTGGGCAGGGGGGTGACCCGTATCTGTGGCCGCAGGAAGACACGCAAAGCCGGCCAGGCTCCTCTGGGCGACGGAGGTCCTGGTGGAAGCGGGATTCCGGGGACTCGCGGACCTTCTCCAGGATGAGCCGTTCGGAGGTGGGTCTGGTGGGAACGGGGGTCAGGGGGGTGGACCCCCTACAGGGCTCCAGCCAGAGGCCCAGGCAGAGCAGGGGGGAGCGGTGCCGGAACTGAAAGCTGCCCGTGGCAGGGCGTGCACCCCGTCAGGCCGGGGTCGGGGCTCCAGGGGCCGGGCCAGGCTCCCCCCGGCCTGGGCCCCGATGAAGAGCCAGGCTGCCGGCCGGGGACCTGGGTGCACACACCTCCCTGCTCAGCCGCACGTGGTTGAGGCGGCTGCCTGCTGCACAGGCTGCGGAAGGTGCTGGATTCTGTGGGCTCCCAGCAGGGAGGGAGCACTGCCCCTGCGGCCACCTGTCATCGGGGTCCCTGGCAGTCCTCAAGCCCTGCCAGCCCCGCCCCGGCCACGCCCAGGCCAGGCAGGCCGCGCCCTTGGCTGCATTTGCCTCCGCATTTGTGACCCGGGCAGCTTGAGCACCAGCGGCCTCCTTGGCGACCAGAGCTCACAGCGAGTGTGGAATGAACAACATGGGGAGGGAGGTGGGGGAGGGGGCATGGGGGCTCTGGCAGCTGGGAGCAGAGGCCCTCCCCTTTGCTCCCCAAGCCCCCTGGGGCTGGAGGGCTGTGGACGGGCTGCCCCCGAGTCCTGGCAGGTGGGAGCGGGGATAGGAGGAGGCCAGTCCCCCCAGGCGGCTGCAGCTGGCTGCCTGCAAAACGGCCACAGCAACCCAGGCCCACCTGGCTGCGCCCCCCCCCCCCCCCCCGTGCCCTCTGCGTGCGAAGTTGGGCAGGACCTGGACTCTCTGTCCTGGAGGAGGCAGCCCCAGCCCTGGGCCCATGGCAGGACGCACACGTGCTCACCCAGGCCCCGGTGTGCTCCGCTCCGTCCACGCAGGAGGCGACCGAGGCGACACTGAAGACCGAGGTGGAGGCCGGCGCCAGCGGCTACAGCGTCACGGGCGGCGGGGCCCAGGGCATCTTTGTCAAGCAGGTGCTGAAGGACTCCTCGGCCGCCAAGCTCTTCGGCCTGAGAGAAGGTGCCCTGGCCGCCCGTCCCTGCTCCCTGGTCCCCTCAGCACGGGAGGGTCTGCAGGGGCCAGGCCAGCCCGGAGCTCAGGATGTTGTCCCCATGCTGGGCTCTCTCCCCTGTGACAGGGGGGACACCTGCCCGCGCAGAGCTCCATGGAGGGAAGGGCTGGGCACATGGCGACTCCCTCTTGTGCACACACTCCTGCAGGCCCTCCATACCCATCCAGGCCCCTCCGCACCCCTGCAGGCCCCTCCGCACCCCTGCAGGCCCCTCCACACCCCTGCAGGCCACTCCACACCCCTCCGCACACCTGCAGGCCCCTGTACACCCCTCCACACCCCTGCAGGCCCCTCCACACCCCTGCAGGCCACTCCACACCCCTCTGCACCCCTGCAGGCCCCTCTGTCCCAGCAAGGACGAACCTGGGGGAGCTAAGGCCACGGTCCCTCTGTCTCTATCTAGGGGATCAGCTGCTCAGCGCTACCGTCTTCTTTGACCACATTAACTATGAGGATGCTCTCAAAATACTTCAGTACTCAGAACCGTACAAGGTCCAGTTCAAGATCAAACGGAAGCTCCAGGCCGCAGGGCCCGAGGACTGGGCCTCCAGCACCGCTCAGCGTGCCCCAAAGCACACGGGGACCCAGGTGAGCCCGCCGTGGCCCCGAGGGGGGGGGTGTGTGTGTGGCCCTGAGCCCAGGGCGCGGACTGCGGACTGCTTGTACCAGCTCCAACCGGCTCCTCTCCCTGCGTTTCAGGACGAAGATGTCGCCGAGGGGAGCACAGACACACCCGTGAAGACGCTGGAGAGAGACGGGGACCAAGAGAGGCTCATCTCCAAGTCCAGGGCAGGCAGAGGCCGGCGGGCCCAGAGGGAGAGGCTGTCCTGGCCCAAATTCCAAGCCACGAAGAGCAAGCGTGGGCCCCGGAGGTCGCACAGCTCCTCCGAGGCCTACGAGAGGGGCCAGGCCCCCAGCGGGTCCCCCACGAGCTCGGACACGGAGGCCCAGTTCCTGGCAGAGGAGCGGGAGCGGACGGCCGGGGCCGGCAGCCAGCGGAGGAGGCGGTTCCTAAACCTGAGGTTCAAGGTGGGCTCCGGGAAGGCACAGTCGCCGGTGGGGCGCCGAGGCAGAGTGGCCCGAGGCGGGACTATCCAGACCCCCCACCTTGCGGAGGCGGGGTCCTGGGGTGACAGCCGACAGGACATGAGGGAGGGCAGGGCGGCAGAGACCCCGGAGGGGACACCTGTTCTGAGCATGGAGGGTGGAATGGGCATGGCACCCAGACGCCGAAAGAAGACAAAGGCGGGGCAGGGCCAGGGGGAGAGGGTGCCACGGGGGACAGCCGGGGCGGGCCCAGCCCCCGGACGAAGCCGGGCAGGCCAAGGGGAGGGAGACAGAGGCTGGACACGGGCATTGCCAGGTGATCCTTGCAAGACCCTGCCGGTGAGGCCGCCCCCGGGGCCACCAGCCGAGTGCCAGACCCGAGCACCAAACCTACAGACGCCCACCTTCAGCTTTTCCAAAGGAAAAGAGCTGGGCACCGAAGGAGGAATGCAGGCCCGCGAGCCGGGGCCCCAGCAGGAGCAGCCGGCCGCTGCGGCCATGGAGGAGGGGGACCATGGCCCAGACACTGCGTGGGGCAGAGTCCCCACAGCGCATGGGCTGCACGGGGAGGATGCCAGAGCAGAGAGGGGCGCGGCAGGACTGAGAGAGGGCAGCAAAAGGGGGGACAGTGACGTGGGGGGCGGGGAGGAGAAGAGGAAAATGCTGGGGTTGAAAATGCCCTCGTTCGGATGGTCGCCTGAGGAGGCAAAGCCCAGGGCAGGAACACGGGGACAGGAAACAGACAGAGAGACCCAGAGACACAGACACTTCACGGCTGTCAATTTGCAGATGGACGCAGAGGACGCCGATGGGAAGGAGAGAGGAGGCCAGAAACACCCAGCAAGGAGGACAGCAGAGAGGGACCGGGGGGCCAAGCTGGAGGGCAGCCTCGGCCTCGGGGACAAGGAGGTGGTCGCCCACGACAGCAAGTTCAAGATGCCCAAGTTCAGGATGCCTTCCTTCTGCACGTCAGGGGCAGCCATGGAGGCCTCAGGGGACGTGTCCCTGCCCAAGGCTGAGGCAGACGTGTCCCTGCCCTCCATCCAGACTGACGTCAAGGCCAGTGACCTCAGTACCGAGCTGCCGTCTGCCGACGTGGACATCAAGACAGGCGAGCTGGGAGTGAAGCTCCCGGAGGGCCACCTGCCTGAGGGACAGCTCGAGGGACCTGCCTCTGGAATCGAACTCAAAGGGCACCTGCCCAAGGTGCACATGCCCAGCATGAAGATGCCCAAAGTAGACTTCAAGGGCCCCCAGGTGGACATCAAGGGGCCCAAACTGGACCTGAAGGGCGCCAAAGGGGAGGTGTCGGCCCCTGACATGGAGGTGTCGCTGCCCAGCATGGAGGCGAACATCCAGGCACCAGGCCCAATGGTGGAGGGAGATGTTGTCCTGAGGGACAGAGAGATGGACACCTGGGAGGGGAAGGTCAAGATACCCAAGTTCAAGATGCCTTCCTTCGGAGTATCGAGGCCAGAGACAAACTGGGGGACACCTGTGGACATGCCGGAGACTGAGTCGAGAGGGGAGGCGAGACTTCCTTCCCTGGAAGGCGAGATGCGAGTCCCAGAGGGTAGCATCCACTTGCCATCTGCTGACCTCGAGATCCCTGGGGGAGAGTGGGCGGTGGCCGTCCCCGAGGGAGAGGTGACCCAGGGAGAGCTGAAAGGCAAAGCAGGAGCCAGATTCAAAGGCCACATGGCCAAGGTGCAGATGCCCAGCATCCAGGTACCCAAGGTGGATCTAAAGGGTCCCCTGGGGGACATCAAGGGGCCCAAACTGGACTTGAAGGACGCCAAAGGGGAGGTGAATGTACCCAATAAGGAAGTGTCACTGCCCAGCGTAGACAACATTCCGGCACCAGGGCTCAGACTTGAGGGTGAACTCATCCAGGGGGATAAGAAAGTGGCGGCCAAGGAAAGCAAATTCAAGATGCCCAAGTTCAAGATGCCTTCGTTCGGCACATCGGTACCGAGCAAGGATTGGGGAAGTTCCGTGGACATGCCAGGGCCCATGGACGAAGGGAAGATGACGCTGCCTTACTTCCAAGGTGAGATGGGAGTCGCAGAGGGCAGCGTCAGATTGCCATCGGCTGATCTCGAGCTCCCTGGGGGAGAGATGGAGGTGGCCCTGCCTGAGGGACAGGTGAGCCTGGGAGAGATGAAGGGCAAAACAGAAGGAGCCAGCTTCAAGGGCCAGATGCCCAAGATGCACATGCCAGGCATGAAGATGCCCAAATTAGACTTCCATGGTCCCCAGATGGAAATCAAGGGGCCTAAACTGGACTCGAAGGGCACCAAAGCGGATATGACAGCCGCTGAAATGGAAGTGACACTTCCCAGTGTGGAGGTGGGCATGCAGAAAAAAGGGGTCCAGATGCAAGGTGACATTGTCCTAGGGGGCAAGCAGGTGGCCACCAAAGACAGCAAATTCAAGATGCCCAAGTTCAAGATGCCTTCCTTCGGGACGTCTGGGCCCGGCAAGTCCATGGAGGCCTCAGTGGACGTGTCCCTGCCCTCCATCCAGACTGACATCAAGACCAGTGACCTCAGCATCGAGCTGCCCTCTGCCGACGTGGACGTGAAGACAGGCGAGCTGGGAGTGAAGCTCCCAGAAGGCCACCTGCCCGAGGGAGAGCTCCAGGAACCCTCCTCCGGAGTTGGACTCAAAGGGCACCTGCCCAAGGTGCACATGCCCAGCATGAAGATGCCCAAAGTAGACTTCAAGGGCCCCCAGGTGGACATCAAGGGGCCCAAAGTGGACCTGAAGGGCGCCAAAGGGGAGGTGACCGTCCCCGAGGGAGAAGTGAAGCTTGGAGAACTGAAGGGCAAAGCAGAAGGGGCCACGTTCAAGGGCCACATGCCCAAGGTGCAGATGCCCAGCGTGAAGATGCCCAAAGTAGACGTCAAGGCCCCCCAGGTGGACATCAAGGGGCCCAAGCTGGACCTGAAGGGCGCCAAAGGGGAGGTGACCGTCCCCGACATGGAGGTTTCGCTGCCCAGTGTGGAGGTGGACATTCAGGCTCCGGGCGCCACGCTGGAGGGAGACATCGTTCTGGGGGACACAGAGGTGGCCACCAAAGACAGCAAGTTCAAGATGCCCAAGTTCAAGATGCCTTCCTTCGGGATGTCTGGGCCAGGCAAGTCCATGGAGGCCTCAGTGGACGTGTCCCTGCCAAAGGCTGAGGCAGACGTGTCCCTGCCCTCCATCCAGACTGACGTCAAGGCCAGTGACGTCAGTATCGAGCTGCCGTCTGCCGACGTGGACATCAAGACAGGCGAGCTGGCAGTGAAGCTCCCGGAGGGCCACCTGCCTGAGGGAGAGCTCGAGGGACCCTCCTCCGGAATGGGGTTCAAAGGGCACCTGCCCAAGGTGCACATGCCCAGCATGAAGATGCCCAAAGTAGACTTCAAGGGCCCCCAGGTGGACATCAAGGGGCCCAAACTGGACCTGAAGGGCGCCAAAGGGGAGGTGTCGGCCCCTGACATGGAAGTGTCGCTGCCCAGTGTGGAGATCGACGTCCAGGCTCCGGGCGCCAAGCTGGAGGGCGACATTGTCTTGGGTTCCAAGGAGGTGGCAGCCCACGACAGCAAGTTCAAGATGCCCAAGTTCAAGATGCCTTCCTTCGGGACGTCTGGGCCCGGCAAGTCCATGGAGGCCTCAGTGGACGTGTCCCTGCCCTCCATCCAGACTGACATCAAGACCAGTGACCTCAGCATCGAGCTGCCCTCTGCCGACGTGGACGTGAAGACAGGCGAGCTGGGAGTGAAGCTCCCGGAGGGCCACCTGCCCGAGGGAGAGCTCCAGGAACCCTCCTCCGGAGTTGGACTCAAAGGGCACCTGCCCAAGGTGCACATGCCCAGCATGAAGATGCCCAAAGTAGACTTCAAGGGCCCCCAGGTGGACATCAAGGGGCCCAAAGTGGACCTGAAGGGCGCCAAAGGGAAGGTGACCGTCCCCGAGGGAGAAGTGAAGCTTGGAGAACTGAAGGGCAAAGCAGAAGGGGCCACGTTCAAGGGCCACATGCCCAAGGTGCAGATGCCCAGCGTGAAGATGCCCAAAGTAGACGTCAAGGCCCCCCAGGTGGACATCAAGGGGCCCAAGCTGGACCTGAAGGGCGCCAAAGGGGAGGTGACCGTCCCCGACATGGAGGTTTCGCTGCCCAGTGTGGAGGTGGACATTCAGGCTCCGGGCGCCACGCTGGAGGGAGACATCGTTCTGGGGGACACAGAGGTGGCCACCAAAGACAGCAAGTTCAAGATGCCCAAGTTCAAGATGCCTTCCTTCGGGATGTCTGGGCCAGGCAAGTCCATGGAGGCCTCAGTGGACGTGTCCCTGCCAAAGGCTGAGGCAGACGTGTCCCTGCCCTCCATCCAGACTGACGTCAAGGCCAGTGACGTCAGTATCGAGCTGCCGTCTGCCGACGTGGACATCAAGACAGGCGAGCTGGCAGTGAAGCTCCCGGAGGGCCACCTGCCTGAGGGAGAGCTCGAGGGACCCTCCTCCGGAATGGGGTTCAAAGGGCACCTGCCCAAGGTGCACATGCCCAGCATGAAGATGCCCAAAGTAGACTTCAAGGGCCCCCAGGTGGACATCAAGGGGCCCAAACTGGACCTGAAGGGCGCCAAAGGGGAGGTGTCGGCCCCTGACATGGAAGTGTCGCTGCCCAGTGTGGAGATCGACGTCCAGGCTCCGGGCGCCAAGCTGGAGGGCGACATTGTCTTGGGTTCCAAGGAGGTGGCAGCCCACGACAGCAAGTTCAAGATGCCCAAGTTCAAGATGCCTTCCTTCGGGACGTCTGGGCCCGGCAAGTCCATGGAGGCCTCAGTGGACGTGTCCCTGCCCTCCATCCAGACTGACATCAAGACCAGTGACCTCAGCATCGAGCTGCCCTCTGCCGACGTGGACGTGAAGACAGGCGAGCTGGGAGTGAAGCTCCCGGAGGGCCACCTGCCCGAGGGAGAGCTCCAGGAACCCTCCTCCGGAGTTGGACTCAAAGGGCACCTGCCCAAGGTGCACATGCCCAGCATGAAGATGCCCAAAGTAGACTTCAAGGGCCCCCAGGTGGACATCAAGGGGCCCAAAGTGGACCTGAAGGGCGCCAAAGGGGAGGTGACCGTCCCCGAGGGAGAAGTGAAGCTTGGAGAACTGAAGGGCAAAGCAGAAGGGGCCACGTTCAAGGGCCACATGCCCAAGGTGCAGATGCCCAGCGTGAAGATGCCCAAAGTAGACGTCAAGGCCCCCCAGGTGGACATCAAGGGGCCCAAGCTGGACCTGAAGGGCGCCAAAGGGGAGGTGACCGTCCCCGACATGGAGGTTTCGCTGCCCAGTGTGGAGGTGGACATTCAGGCTCCGGGCGCCACGCTGGAGGGAGACATCGTTCTGGGGGACACAGAGGTGGCCACCAAAGACAGCAAGTTCAAGATGCCCAAGTTCAAGATGCCTTCCTTCGGGATGTCTGGGCCAGGCAAGTCCATGGAGGCCTCAGTGGACGTGTCCCTGCCAAAGGCTGAGGCAGACGTGTCCCTGCCCTCCATCCAGACTGACGTCAAGGCCAGTGACGTCAGTATCGAGCTGCCGTCTGCCGACGTGGACATCAAGACAGGCGAGCTGGCAGTGAAGCTCCCGGAGGGCCACCTGCCTGAGGGAGAGCTCGAGGGACCCTCCTCCGGAATGGGGTTCAAAGGGCACCTGCCCAAGGTGCACATGCCCAGCATGAAGATGCCCAAAGTAGACTTCAAGGGCCCCCAGGTGGACATCAAGGGGCCCAAACTGGACCTGAAGGGCGCCAAAGGGGAGGTGTCGGCCCCTGACATGGAAGTGTCGCTGCCCAGTGTGGAGATCGACGTCCAGGCTCCGGGCGCCAAGCTGGAGGGCGACATTGTCTTGGGTTCCAAGGAGGTGGCAGCCCACGACAGCAAGTTCAAGATGCCCAAGTTCAAGATGCCTTCCTTCGGGACGTCTGGGCCCGGCAAGTCCATGGAGGCCTCAGTGGACGTGTCCCTGCCCTCCATCCAGACTGACATCAAGACCAGTGACCTCAGCATCGAGCTGCCCTCTGCCGACGTGGACGTGAAGACAGGCGAGCTGGGAGTGAAGCTCCCGGAGGGCCACCTGCCCGAGGGAGAGCTCCAGGAACCCTCCTCCGGAGTTGGACTCAAAGGGCACCTGCCCAAGGTGCACATGCCCAGCATGAAGATGCCCAAAGTAGACTTCAAGGGCCCCCAGGTGGACATCAAGGGGCCCAAAGTGGACCTGAAGGGCGCCAAAGGGGAGGTGACCGTCCCCGAGGGAGAAGTGAAGCTTGGAGAACTGAAGGGCAAAGCAGAAGGGGCCACGTTCAAGGGCCACATGCCCAAGGTGCAGATGCCCAGCGTGAAGATGCCCAAAGTAGACGTCAAGGCCCCCCAGGTGGACATCAAGGGGCCCAAGCTGGACCTGAAGGGCGCCAAAGGGGAGGTGACCGTCCCCGACATGGAGGTTTCGCTGCCCAGTGTGGAGGTGGACATTCAGGCTCCGGGCGCCACGCTGGAGGGAGACATCGTTCTGGGGGACACAGAGGTGGCCACCAAAGACAGCAAGTTCAAGATGCCCAAGTTCAAGATGCCTTCCTTCGGGATGTCTGGGCCAGGCAAGTCCATGGAGGCCTCAGTGGACGTGTCCCTGCCAAAGGCTGAGGCAGACGTGTCCCTGCCCTCCATCCAGACTGACGTCAAGGCCAGTGACGTCAGTATCGAGCTGCCGTCTGCCGACGTGGACATCAAGACAGGCGAGCTGGCAGTGAAGCTCCCGGAGGGCCACCTGCCTGAGGGAGAGCTCGAGGGACCCTCCTCCGGAAGGGGGTTCAAAGGGCACCTGCCCAAGGTGCACATGCCCAGCATGAAGATGCCCAAAGTAGACTTCAAGGGCCCCCAGGTGGACATCAAGGGGCCCAAACTGGACCTGAAGGGCGCCAAAGGGGAGGTGTCGGCCCCTGACATGGAAGTGTCGCTGCCCAGTGTGGAGATCGACGTCCAGGCTCCGGGCGCCAAGCTGGAGGGCGACATTGTCTTGGGTTCCAAGGAGGTGGCAGCCCACGACAGCAAGTTCAAGATGCCCAAGTTCAAGATGCCTTCCTTCGGGACGTCTGGGCCCGGCAAGTCCATGGAGGCCTCAGTGGACGTGTCCCTGCCCTCCATCCAGACTGACATCAAGACCAGTGACCTCAGCATCGAGCTGCCCTCTGCCGACGTGGACGTGAAGACAGGCGAGCTGGGAGTGAAGCTCCCGGAGGGCCACCTGCCCGAGGGAGAGCTCCAGGAACCCTCCTCCGGAGTTGGACTCAAAGGGCACCTGCCCAAGGTGCACATGCCCAGCATGAAGATGCCCAAAGTAGACTTCAAGGGCCCCCAGGTGGACATCAAGGGGCCCAAAGTAGACCTGAAGGGCGCCAAAGGGGAGGTGACCGTCCCCGAGGGAGAAGTGAAGCTTGGAGAACTGAAGGGCAAAGCAGAAGGGGCCACGTTCAAGGGCCACATGCCCAAGGTGCAGATGCCCAGCGTGAAGATACCCAAAGTAGACGTCAAGGCCCCCCAGATGGACATCAAGGGGCCCAAGCTGGACCTGAAGGGCGCCAAAGGGGAGGTGACCGTCCCCGACATGGAGGTTTCGCTGCCCAGTGTGGAGGTGGACATTCAGGCTCCGGGCGCCAAGCTGGAGGGAGACATCGTTCTGGGGGACACAGAGGTGGCCACCAAAGACAGCAAGTTCAAGATGCCCAAGTTCAAGATGCCTTCCTTCGGGATGTCTGGGCCAGGCAAGTCCATGGAGGCCTCAGTGGACGTGTCCCTGCCAAAGGCTGAGGCAGACGTGTCCCTGCCCCCCATCCAGACTGACGTCAAGGCCAGTGACGTCAGTATCGAGCTGCCGTCTGCCGACGTGGACATCAAGACAGGCGAGCTGGCAGTGAAGCTCCCGGAGGGCCACCTGCCTGAGGGAGAGCTCGAGGGACCCTCCTCCGGAATGGGGTTCAAAGGGCACCTGCCCAAGGTGCACATGCCCAGCATGAAGATGCCCAAAGTAGACTTCAAGGGCCCCCAGGTGGACATCAAGGGGCCCAAACTGGACCTGAAGGGCGCCAAAGGGGAGGTGTCGGCCCCTGACATGGAAGTGTCGCTGCCCAGTGTGGAGATCGACGTCCAGGCTCCGGGCGCCAAGCTGGAGGGCGACATTGTCTTGGGTTCCAAGGAGGTGGCAGCCCACGACAGCAAGTTCAAGATGCCCAAGTTCAAGATGCCTTCCTTCGGGACGTCTGGGCCCGGCAAGTCCATGGAGGCCTCAGTGGACGTGTCCCTGCCCTCCATCCAGACTGACATCAAGACCAGTGACCTCAGCATCGAGCTGCCCTCTGCCGATGTGGACGTGAAGACAGGCGAGCTGGGAGTGAAGCTCCCGGAGGGCCACCTGCCCGAGGGAGAGCTCCAGGAACCCTCCTCCGGAGTTGGACTCAAAGGGCACCTGCCCAAGGTGCACATGCCCAGCATGAAGATGCCCAAAGTAGACTTCAAGGGCCCCCAGGTGGACATCAAGGGGCCCAAAGTGGACCTGAAGGGCGCCAAAGGGGAGGTGACCGTCCCCGACATGGAGGTTTCGCTGCCCAGTGTGGAGGTGGACATTCAGGCTCCGGGCGCCAAGCTGGAGGGAGACATCGTTCTGGGGGACACAGAGGTGGCCACCAAAGACAGCAAGTTCAAGATGCCCAAGTTCAAGATGCCTTCCTTCGGGATGTCTGGGCCAGGCAAGTCCATGGAGGCCTCAGTGGACGTGTCCCTGCCAAAGGCTGAGGCAGACGTGTCCCTGCCCTCCATCCAGACTGACGTCAAGGCCAGTGACGTCAGTATCGAGCTGCCGTCTGCCGACGTGGACATCAAGACAGGCGAGCTGGCAGTGAAGCTCCCGGAGGGCCACCTGCCTGAGGGAGAGCTCGAGGGACCCTCCTCCGGAATGGGGTTCAAAGGGCACCTGCCCAAGGTGCACATGCCCAGCATGAAGATGCCCAAAGTAGACTTCAAGGGCCCCCAGGTGGACATCAAGGGGCCCAAACTGGACCTGAAGGGCGCCAAAGGGGAGGTGTCGGCCCCTGACATGGAAGTGTCGCTGCCCAGTGTGGAGATCGACGTCCAGGCTCCGGGCGCCAAGCTGGAGGGCGACATTGTCTTGGGTTCCAAGGAGGTGGCAGCCCACGACAGCAAGTTCAAGATGCCCAAGTTCAAGATGCCTTCCTTCGGGACGTCTGGGCCCGGCAAGTCCATGGAGGCCTCAGTGGACGTGTCCCTGCCCTCCATCCAGACTGACATCAAGACCAGTGACCTCAGCATCGAGCTGCCCTCTGCCGACGTGGACGTGAAGACAGGCGAGCTGGGAGTGAAGCTCCCGGAGGGCCACCTGCCCGAGGGAGAGCTCCAGGAACCCTCCTCCGGAGTTGGACTCAAAGGGCACCTGCCCAAGGTGCACATGCCCAGCATGAAGATGCCCAAAGTAGACTTCAAGGGCCCCCAGGTGGACATCAAGGGGCCCAAAGTAGACCTGAAGGGCGCCAAAGGGGAGGTGACCGTCCCCGAGGGAGAAGTGAAGCTTGGAGAACTGAAGGGCAAAGCAGAAGGGGCCACGTTCAAGGGCCACATGCCCAAGGTGCAGATGCCCAGCGTGAAGATGCCCAAAGTAGACGTCAAGGCCCCCCAGGTGGACATCAAGGGGCCCAAGCTGGACCTGAAGGGCGCCAAAGGGGAGGTGACCGTCCCCGACATGGAGGTTTCGCTGCCCAGTGTGGAGGTGGACATTCAGGCTCCGGGCGCCAAGCTGGAGGGAGACATCGTTCTGGGGGACACAGAGGTGGCCACCAAAGACAGCAAGTTCAAGATGCCCAAGTTCAAGATGCCTTCCTTCGGGATGTCTGGGCCAGGCAAGTCCATGGAGGCCTCAGTGGACGTGTCCCTGCCAAAGGCTGAGGCAGACGTGTCCCTGCCCTCCATCCAGACTGACGTCAAGGCCAGTGACGTCAGTATCGAGCTGCCGTCTGCCGACGTGGACAGTCAAGACAGGCGAGCTGGGAGTGAAGCTCCCGGAGGGCCACCTGCCCGAGGGAGAGCTCCAGGAACCCTCCTCCGGAGTGGGTCCAAAGGGCACCTGCCCAAGGTGCACATGCCCAGCATGAAGATGCCCAAAGTAGACTTCAAGGGCCCCCAGGTGGACATCAAGGGGCCCAAACTGGACCTGAAGGGCGCCAAAGGGGAGGTGTCGGCCCCTGACATGGAAGTGTCGCTGCCCAGTGTGGAGATCGACGTCCAGGCTCCGGGCGCCAAGCTGGAGGGCGACATTGTCTTGGGTTCCAAGGAGGTGGCAGCCCACGACAGCAAGTTCAAGATGCCCAAGTTCAAGATGCCTTCCTTCGGGACGTCTGGGCCCGGCAAGTCCATGGAGGCCTCAGTGGACGTGTCCCTGCCCTCCATCCAGACTGACATCAAGACCAGTGACCTCAGCATCGAGCTGCCCTCTGCCGACGTGGAAGTGAAGACAGGCGAGCTGGGAGTGAAGCTCCCGGAGGGCCACCTGCCCGAGGGAGAGCTCCAGGAACCCTCCTCCGGAGTTGGACTCAAAGGGCACCTGCCCAAGGTGCACATGCCCAGCATGAAGATGCCCAAAGTAGACTTCAAGGGCCCCCAGGTGGACATCAAGGGGCCCAAAGTGGACCTGAAGGGCGCCAAAGGGGAGGTGACCGTCCCCGAGGGAGAAGTGAAGCTTGGAGAACTGAAGGGCAAAGCAGAAGGGGCCACGTTCAAGGGCCACATGCCCAAGGTGCAGATGCCCAGCGTGAAGATGCCCAAAGTAGACGTCAAGGCCCCCCAGGTGGACATCAAGGGGCCCAAGCTGGACCTGAAGGGCGCCAAAGGGGAGGTGACCGTCCCCGACATGGAGGTTTCGCTGCCCAGTGTGGAGGTGGACATTCAGGCTCCGGGCGCCACGCTGGAGGGAGACATCGTTCTGGGGGACACAGAGGTGGCCACCAAAGACAGCAAGTTCAAGATGCCCAAGTTCAAGATGCCTTCCTTCGGGATGTCTGGGCCAGGCAAGTCCATGGAGGCCTCAGTGGACGTGTCCCTGCCAAAGGCTGAGGCAGACGTGTCCCTGCCCTCCATCCAGACTGACGTCAAGGCCAGTGACGTCAGTATCGAGCTGCCGTCTGCCGACGTGGACATCAAGACAGGCGAGCTGGCAGTGAAGCTCCCGGAGGGCCACCTGCCTGAGGGAGAGCTCGAGGGACCCTCCTCCGGAATGGGGTTCAAAGGGCACCTGCCCAAGGTGCACATGCCCAGCATGAAGATGCCCAAAGTAGACTTCAAGGGCCCCCAGGTGGACATCAAGGGGCCCAAACTGGACCTGAAGGGCGCCAAAGGGGAGGTGTCGGCCCCTGACATGGAAGTGTCGCTGCCCAGTGTGGAGATCGACGTCCAGGCTCCGGGCGCCAAGCTGGAGGGCGACATTGTCTTGGGTTCCAAGGAGGTGGCAGCCCACGACAGCAAGTTCAAGATGCCCAAGTTCAAGATGCCTTCCTTCGGGACGTCTGGGCCCGGCAAGTCCATGGAGGCCTCAGTGGACGTGTCCCTGCCCTCCATCCAGACTGACATCAAGACCAGTGACCTCAGCATCGAGCTGCCCTCTGCCGACGTGGACGTGAAGACAGGCGAGCTGGGAGTGAAGCTCCCGGAGGGCCACCTGCCCGAGGGAGAGCTCCAGGAACCCTCCTCCGGAGTTGGACTCAAAGGGCACCTGCCCAAGGTGCACATGCCCAGCATGAAGATGCCCAAAGTAGACTTCAAGGGCCCCCAGGTGGACATCAAGGGGCCCAAAGTGGACCTGAAGGGCGCCAAAGGGGAGGTGACCGTCCCCGAGGGAGAAGTGAAGCTTGGAGAACTGAAGGGCAAAGCAGAAGGGGCCACGTTCAAGGGCCACATGCCCAAGGTGCAGATGCCCAGCGTGAAGATGCCCAAAGTAGACGTCAAGGCCCCCCAGGTGGACATCAAGGGGCCCAAGCTGGACCTGAAGGGCGCCAAAGGGGAGGTGACCGTCCCCGACATGGAGGTTTCGCTGCCCAGTGTGGAGGTGGACATTCAGGCTCCGGGCGCCACGCTGGAGGGAGACATCGTTCTGGGGGACACAGAGGTGGCCACCAAAGACAGCAAGTTCAAGATGCCCAAGTTCAAGATGCCTTCCTTCGGGATGTCTGGGCCAGGCAAGTCCATGGAGGCCTCAGTGGACGTGTCCCTGCCAAAGGCTGAGGCAGACGTGTCCCTGCCCTCCATCCAGACTGACGTCAAGGCCAGTGACGTCAGTATCGAGCTGCCGTCTGCCGACGTGGACATCAAGACAGGCAAGCTGGCAGTGAAGCTCCCGGAGGGCCACCTGCCTGAGGGAGAGCTCGAGGGACCCTCCTCCGGAATGGGGTTCAAAGGGCACCTGCCCAAGGTGCACATGCCCAGCATGAAGATGCCCAAAGTAGACTTCAAGGGCCCCCAGGTGGACATCAAGGGGCCCAAACTGGACCTGAAGGGCGCCAAAGGGGAGGTGTCGGCCCCTGACATGGAAGTGTCGCTGCCCAGTGTGGAGATCGACGTCCAGGCTCCGGGCGCCAAGCTGGAGGGCGACATTGTCTTGGGTTCCAAGGAGGTGGCAGCCCACGACAGCAAGTTCAAGATGCCCAAGTTCAAGATGCCTTCCTTCGGGACGTCTGGGCCCGGCAAGTCCATGGAGGCCTCAGTGGACGTGTCCCTGCCCTCCATCCAGACTGACATCAAGACCAGTGACCTCAGCATCGAGCTGCCCTCTGCCGACGTGGAAGTGAAGACAGGCGAGCTGGGAGTGAAGCTCCCGGAGGGCCACCTGCCCGAGGGAGAGCTCCAGGAACCCTCCTCCGGAGTTGGACTCAAAGGGCACCTGCCCAAGGTGCACATGCCCAGCATGAAGATGCCCAAAGTAGACTTCAAGGGCCCCCAGGTGGACATCAAGGGGCCCAAAGTAGACCTGAAGGGCGCCAAAGGGGAGGTGACCGTCCCCGAGGGAGAAGTGAAGCTTGGAGAACTGAAGGGCAAAGCAGAAGGGGCCACGTTCAAGGGCCACATGCCCAAGGTGCAGATGCCCAGCGTGAAGATACCCAAAGTAGACGTCAAGGCCCCCCAGATGGACATCAAGGGGCCCAAGCTGGACCTGAAGGGCGCCAAAGGGGAGGTGACCGTCCCCGACATGGAGGTTTCGCTGCCCAGTGTGGAGGTGGACATTCAGGCTCCGGGCGCCAAGCTGGAGGGAGACATCGTTCTGGGGGACACAGAGGTGGCCACCAAAGACAGCAAGTTCAAGATGCCCAAGTTCAAGATGCCTTCCTTCGGGATGTCTGGGCCAGGCAAGTCCATGGAGGCCTCAGTGGACGTGTCCCTGCCAAAGGCTGAGGCAGACGTGTCCCTGCCCTCCATCCAGACTGACGTCAAGGCCAGTGACGTCAGTATCGAGCTGCCGTCTGCCGACGTGGACATCAAGACAGGCGAGCTGGCAGTGAAGCTCCCGGAGGGCCACCTGCCTGAGGGAGAGCTCGAGGGACCCTCCTCCGGAATGGGGTTCAAAGGGCACCTGCCCAAGGTGCACATGCCCAGCATGAAGATGCCCAAAGTAGACTTCAAGGGCCCCCAGGTGGACATCAAGGGGCCCAAACTGGACCTGAAGGGCGCCAAAGGGGAGGTGTCGGCCCCTGACATGGAAGTGTCGCTGCCCAGTGTGGAGATCGACGTCCAGGCTCCGGGCGCCAAGCTGGAGGGCGACATTGTCTTGGGTTCCAAGGAGGTGGCAGCCCACGACAGCAAGTTCAAGATGCCCAAGTTCAAGATGCCTTCCTTCGGGACGTCTGGGCCCGGCAAGTCCATGGAGGCCTCAGTGGACGTGTCCCTGCCCTCCATCCAGACTGACATCAAGACCAGTGACCTCAGCATCGAGCTGCCCTCTGCCGACGTGGAAGTGAAGACAGGCGAGCTGGGAGTGAAGCTCCCGGAGGGCCACCTGCCCGAGGGAGAGCTCCAGGAACCCTCCTCCGGAGTTGGACTCAAAGGGCACCTGCCCAAGGTGCACATGCCCAGCATGAAGATGCCCAAAGTAGACTTCAAGGGCCCCCAGGTGGACATCAAGGGGCCCAAAGTAGACCTGAAGGGCGCCAAAGGGGAGGTGACCGTCCCCGAGGGAGAAGTGAAGCTTGGAGAACTGAAGGGCAAAGCAGAAGGGGCCACGTTCAAGGGCCACATGCCCAAGGTGCAGATGCCCAGCGTGAAGATGCCCAAAGTAGACGTCAAGGCCCCCCAGGTGGACATCAAGGGGCCCAAGCTGGACCTGAAGGGCGCCAAAGGGGAGGTGACCGTCCCCGACATGGAGGTTTCGCTGCCCAGTGTGGAGGTGGACATTCAGGCTCCGGGCGCCAAGCTGGAGGGAGACATCGTTCTGGGGGACACAGAGGTGGCCACCAAAGACAGCAAGTTCAAGATGCCCAAGTTCAAGATGCCTTCCTTCGGGATGTCTGGGCCAGGCAAGTCCATGGAGGCCTCAGTGGACGTGTCCCTGCCAAAGGCTGAGGCAGACGTGTCCCTGCCCTCCATCCAGACTGACGTCAAGGCCAGTGACGTCAGTATCGAGCTGCCGTCTGCCGACGTGGACGTCAAGACAGGCGAGCTGGGAGTGAAGCTCCCGGAGGGCCACCTGCCCGAGGGAGAGCTCCAGGAACCCTCCTCCGGAGTGGGTTCAAAGGGCACCTGCCCAAGGTGCACATGCCCAGCATGAAGATGCCCAAAGTAGACTTCAAGGGCCCCCAGGTGGACATCAAGGGGCCCAAACTGGACCTGAAGGGCGCCAAAGGGGAGGTGTCGGCCCCTGACATGGAAGTGTCGCTGCCCAGTGTGGAGATCGACGTCCAGGCTCCGGGCGCCAAGCTGGAGGGCGACATTGTCTTGGGTTCCAAGGAGGTGGCAGCCCACGACAGCAAGTTCAAGATGCCCAAGTTCAAGATGCCTTCCTTCGGGACGTCTGGGCCCGGCAAGTCCATGGAGGCCTCAGTGGACGTGTCCCTGCCCTCCATCCAGACTGACATCAAGACCAGTGACCTCAGCATCGAGCTGCCCTCTGCCGACGTGGAAGTGAAGACAGGCGAGCTGGGAGTGAAGCTCCCGGAGGGCCACCTGCCCGAGGGAGAGCTCCAGGAACCCTCCTCCGGAGTTGGACTCAAAGGGCACCTGCCCAAGGTGCACATGCCCAGCATGAAGATGCCCAAAGTAGACTTCAAGGGCCCCCAGGTGGACATCAAGGGGCCCAAAGTGGACCTGAAGGGCGCCAAAGGGGAGGTGACCGTCCCCGAGGGAGAAGTGAAGCTTGGAGAACTGAAGGGCAAAGCAGAAGGGGCCACGTTCAAGGGCCACATGCCCAAGGTGCAGATGCCCAGCGTGAAGATGCCCAAAGTAGACGTCAAGGCCCCCCAGGTGGACATCAAGGGGCCCAAGCTGGACCTGAAGGGCGCCAAAGGGGAGGTGACCGTCCCCGACATGGAGGTTTCGCTGCCCAGTGTGGAGGTGGACATTCAGGCTCCGGGCGCCACGCTGGAGGGAGACATCGTTCTGGGGGACACAGAGGTGGCCACCAAAGACAGCAAGTTCAAGATGCCCAAGTTCAAGATGCCTTCCTTCGGGATGTCTGGGCCAGGCAAGTCCATGGAGGCCTCTGTGGACGTGTCCCTGCCAAAGGCTGAGGCAGACGTGTCCCTGCCCTCCATCCAGACTGACGTCAAGGCCAGTGACGTCAGTATCGAGCTGCCGTCTGCCGACGTGGACATCAAGACAGGCGAGCTGGCAGTGAAGCTCCCGGAGGGCCACCTGCCTGAGGGAGAGCTCGAGGGACCCTCCTCCGGAATGGGGTTCAAAGGGCACCTGCCCAAGGTGCACATGCCCAGCATGAAGATGCCCAAAGTAGACTTCAAGGGCCCCCAGGTGGACATCAAGGGGCCCAAACTGGACCTGAAGGGCGCCAAAGGGGAGGTGTCGGCCCCTGACATGGAAGTGTCGCTGCCCAGTGTGGAGATCGACGTCCAGGCTCCGGGCGCCAAGCTGGAGGGCGACATTGTCTTGGGTTCCAAGGAGGTGGCAGCCCACGACAGCAAGTTCAAGATGCCCAAGTTCAAGATGCCTTCCTTCGGGACGTCTGGGCCCAGCAAGTCCATGGAGGCCTCAGTGGACGTGTCCCTGCCCTCCATCCAGACTGACATCAAGACCAGTGACCTCAGCATCGAGCTGCCCTCTGCCGACGTGGACGTGAAGACAGGCGAGCTGGGAGTGAAGCTCCCGGAGGGCCACCTGCCCGAGGGAGAGCTCCAGGAACCCTCCTCCGGAGTTGGACTCAAAGGGCACCTGCCCAAGGTGCACATGCCCAGCATGAAGATGCCCAAAGTAGACTTCAAGGGCCCCCAGGTGGACATCAAGGGGCCCAAAGTGGACCTGAAGGGCGCCAAAGGGGAGGTGACCGTCCCCGAGGGAGAAGTGAAGCTTGGAGAACTGAAGGGCAAAGCAGAAGGGGCCACGTTCAAGGGCCACATGCCCAAGGTGCAGATGCCCAGCGTGAAGATGCCCAAAGTAGACGTCAAGGCCCCCCAGGTGGACATCAAGGGGCCCAAGCTGGACCTGAAGGGCGCCAAAGGGGAGGTGACCGTCCCCGACATGGAGGTTTCGCTGCCCAGTGTGGAGGTGGACATTCAGGCTCCGGGCGCCACGCTGGAGGGAGACATCGTTCTGGGGGACACAGAGGTGGCCACCAAAGACAGCAAGTTCAAGATGCCCAAGTTCAAGATGCCTTCCTTCGGGATGTCTGGGCCAGGCAAGTCCATGGAGGCCTCAGTGGACGTGTCCCTGCCAAAGGCTGAGGCAGACGTGTCCCTGCCCTCCATCCAGACTGACGTCAAGGCCAGTGACGTCAGTATCGAGCTGCCGTCTGCCGACGTGGACATCAAGACAGGCGAGCTGGCAGTGAAGCTCCCGGAGGGCCACCTGCCTGAGGGAGAGCTCGAGGGACCCTCCTCCGGAATGGGGTTCAAAGGGCACCTGCCCAAGGTGCACATGCCCAGCATGAAGATGCCCAAAGTAGACTTCAAGGGCCCCCAGGTGGACATCAAGGGGCCCAAACTGGACCTGAAGGGCGCCAAAGGGGAGGTGTCGGCCCCTGACATGGAAGTGTCGCTGCCCAGTGTGGAGATCGACGTCCAGGCTCCGGGCGCCAAGCTGGAGGGCGACATTGTCTTGGGTTCCAAGGAGGTGGCAGCCCACGACAGCAAGTTCAAGATGCCCAAGTTCAAGATGCCTTCCTTCGGGACGTCTGGGCCCGGCAAGTCCATGGAGGCCTCAGTGGACGTGTCCCTGCCCTCCATCCAGACTGACATCAAGACCAGTGACCTCAGCATCGAGCTGCCCTCTGCCGACGTGGACGTGAAGACAGGCGAGCTGGGAGTGAAGCTCCCGGAGGGCCACCTGCCCGAGGGAGAGCTCCAGGAACCCTCCTCCGGAGTTGGACTCAAAGGGCACCTGCCCAAGGTGCACATGCCCAGCATGAAGATGCCCAAAGTAGACTTCAAGGGCCCCCAGGTGGACATCAAGGGGCCCAAACTGGACCTGAAGGGCGCCAAAGGGGAGGTGACCGTCCCCGAGGGAGAAGTGAAGCTTGGAGAACTGAAGGGCAAAGCAGAAGGGGCCACGTTCAAGGGCCACATGCCCAAGGTGCAGATGCCCAGCGTGAAGATGCCCAAAGTAGACGTCAAGGCCCCCCAGGTGGACATCAAGGGGCCCAAGCTGGACCTGAAGGGCGCCAAAGGGGAGGTGACCGTCCCCGACATGGAGGTTTCGCTGCCCAGTGTGGAGGTGGACATTCAGGCTCCGGGCGCCACGCTGGAGGGAGACATCGTTCTGGGGGACACAGAGGTGGCCACCAAAGACAGCAAGTTCAAGATGCCCAAGTTCAAGATGCCTTCCTTCGGGATGTCTGGGCCAGGCAAGTCCATGGAGGCCTCAGTGGACGTGTCCCTGCCAAAGGCTGAGGCAGACGTGTCCCTGCCCTCCATCCAGACTGACGTCAAGGCCAGTGACGTCAGTATCGAGCTGCCGTCTGCCGACGTGGACATCAAGACTGGCGAGCTGGGAGTGAAGCTCCCGGAGGGCCACCTGCCCGAGGGAGAGCTCCATGGATCTGCCTCCGCAGGTGGCAGCAAATGGCACCTGCCCAAGGTGCACATGCCCAGCATGAAGATGCCCAAAGTAGACTTCAAGGGCCCCCAGGTGGACATCCAGGACAATCTGAAAGGCTCCAAAGGGGAGGTGACTGCCCCTGACTTGGAGGTGTCCGTGCCCAGTGTGGAAGTTGAAATCCAGGCAGATGGCTCCAAGCTGGAGGGAGACAGTGACCTGGGGGATAAGGCAGTGGCTACCAAAGACAGCAAGTTCAAGATGCCCAGGTTCAAGATGCCTTCCTTCGGTGCATCTCCACCAAGCAAGGATTGGGGAACATCAGTGGACGTGTCCATGTCCAACACCACGGGGACGGCCACTCTCCCGTCCTTTGTAGGTGAGATTCACGGCCCAGAAGGTAGCATCCACCTGCCATCTGCTGATCTCGAGCTCCCTGGGCTAGAGGTGGAGGTCCCCCTGCTGGAGGGAGAGGTGACGCTGGGGGAGCTGAAGGGCAAAGTAGAAGGGGCCACGTTCAAAGGCCACCTGCCCAAGATGCAGATGCCCAGCATCAAGGTGCCCAAGGTGGACATCAAGGGGCCAAAACTGGATCTTAAATGCACTAAAGGGGAGGTGACCCCTCCTGACACAGAGGTGTCGCCATCCCGTGTGGAGGTGGCTATCCAGGAGCCACACTCCAGGGTGGTGGGTGCCATTGGCCCGGAGGACAAGGAGGTGGCCACCCGAGAGAGCAAGTTCAAGATGCCCAAGGTCAGCATGCCATTCTTCCGACCATCATCCAGTAAGACGTACTCGGTTTCGGCGCATGCCTGCGGAGGTGCCACCGTTGCAGAAGTGACTTCGTTTCCTGACAAAGTGCGTACCGCTGTTGACTCAGCTGATCATTCTGTTTCCACGGGCGACGCGGGTTTGGAGGACGCCACACGTACGAAGTGCCAGGTGCCTCTCCCCAAAGCCAGCGTCTCTCCAGAGGTGCCTTGGGAAACCCTCTCTGAGTCCAAGGGGGGTGCGCCCCAGTTCAGCGCCCCACGTGCTGCCGACCTCCCATCCTGGGAGCCCGTTCCTTCGTCCCAACCTGACAGCCACCCTGGCCCTGCGGACCCCCCAGTTCACACGTCTTATGGCCGCGTGACTTTTCCTAAATTCCATCGACCGAAGTTCCGGTTTTCAGTCGCAGTGGCAGCCGAGGCCGAGGGAGAGCCCCGCGCCCTGGAGGGTGCCCCCTCCCCTCGCAGCCCCACACAGGTCCTGGACTCTGAGGAAGCCACAGTGTTCCTGGGTTCAGCCACTCCTCTGCCACCTGCAGGCGTCTCCATGTCCAGGGGCACGGAGGAGCCCGCGGGCAGTGCTGGAACATCCGCCATGGCTGCAGAGGGGGTGCCCGTGGGGGACGTGGCAGCCGGAGCCGAGCGGGCCAGCTCACAGGACAGCTGGTTCAGGATGCCCTCGCTCCGCCTGCCCAGCTTCTGGCGCTCCTCGAAGGAGCAGGGGGGGGCGGGGGCACCGAGGGAAGGGGAGGCCCCCGCTGCAGCCAAGAGTCCAGGGGTCTGTGCTCCTGGGTCAGAGGCGGAGGCAGCCGTGGCCCCATCGCCCCCAGAGGCAGAGGCAGAGGCAGAAGCAGAGGCGGATGCGGCGGAAGCTCTCAGGGGAGGTCTGCACAGCCCAGCCCCAGGCTCGGAGCTGCACCTGCCTCCTGCCAGCATGTCCCCTGATGAGCCTCCCACTTCCCAGGCCTGGGTGGGTCCCGGCAAAGGCCCCCTTTCCCTTCAGATGCCTGGAGGGAGACTTTCAGAAACCCAAGCTCCTGCCAGAGGGGCAGGGAGCGCTGAGCACCCGTCTACCCCACCGGAAGGCCCTCTCAGACTGAAGGCTTCGAGGACAGACGTGCCAGCCCAAATTTCCATCGTGGGTCGGGTCTGGGAGGATTCTGTGCTCACTGTCAAGTTCCCCAAGTTAAAGGTGCCCAGGTTCACCTTCCCCGCCCCCAGCTGCGAGGCCGACATCTTCATCCCCCCGGCTGTGCGAGAGGTGTGGTGCCCGGACAGCAGCCTGGATCTGGCCCTGAGCAAGGAGCACCCTGGGGTGTGGAGCGTGAGCCTCCTGCAGGCTGGCGCTGTGGGCACCGCGCAGCAGCCGGTGGCCTTGGACCTCCCCGCGGAGGCCAGCCCCATTTCCAAGGTCAGAGTCCACATTGAAGGTGCCCGGGTGGAGAGCCGGGAGGTCACCATACACAGCAGGGTCCTGGCAGAGCCTGCTGACTGGCCGGGACCCCAGGCTGGCTCCACTCAGATCGTCCGGGAGTCAGAGATCCCAGCCTCCGAGGTCCAGATGCCTTCCTATGGGTTCTCCTTGCTCAAGGGGAAGGTCCCCGAGAGCCCCTTGCGGGCCCAGGTGCAGGTGGTCACTCAGGGCAGCCAAGCCGCTTCCCAAGGTGACCCTGCGGCCCTGGGAGCTGACCGGGGGCCTGGAGCCCTGCAGCCAGACACAGAGACGTTTGAAATCATCTTCTCTGGCACCGACGAGGGACCGCAGACGGCCACGTCGGAAGGGAGCTCAGGCCTCCAGCCTGCAGACAGCGGTTTCGACGACGACGAGGAGCCTGCAGAAATCCTCGAATTGCCCCCTGAAGAAGGCCAAGAGGGAGACGGGGCTGCCAGGGAGAAGCCGGAAAGCAAACGGTCCTCCGGGCGGTTCCGGTTTTGGCTTCCGAGCATCGGGTTCTCCTCCGCGGCGGCCGAGGACACCAGCACCGCAGCCACAGAAGAGGAACCCACACCGGCTCCGGTCCAAACGCAGCCCGAGGCCCGCCCGGCGGCCGAGCTGCCCAAGAAGCCGGAGAAGGCGGGCTGGTTCCGATTCCCCAGATTAGGGTTCTCCTCGGCCCCCAGCAGGAAGAGCGAGAGCGCTGGGGACGAGCCGGGCCCGGCGGAGGCCAAGCCCCAGGAAGAGGCGCTCACGTTTTTCGATGCCCGAGAAAGCTTCTCCGCCGAGGACAAGGAGGGGGAGCCCGGGGAGCCCGCGGGGGCTGCAGGCGCCCGGCCGGCCCCCAGCGCCGCGGCGACGCCCAAGGCCGGAACGGAGGCAGCCAGGCCGGAGCCGAGCGGGAAGGCCGGTGCCCAGCCCGCGCCCGCGCCCCAGACCCAGTGAGGCCGCAGGCGCGACTTTCCAGGGGGCAGAGGCGCACGTGTCCAGCCGCGCGCCATCGGGACCGACTCTGCAAGCGAAGGGCCACGCGGGGCGGGGGCTCCCGAAGGCGTGGCTGGAGGGCTCATCGGATGGGGACCTGCGCTCACGCCCTGCCTGGCTCTGCTGGCTGCGCACGTGGCCGTGGCCTTGGCCTTGGCGCGCGGCTGTGGCGTGGTGTGGGCGTGGTCACGGTGTGCGCATGGGCGTGGCTGCAGGTGTGCGCAGCCGGGGTGTGGGCGTGGCCTCAGTGCGCGCGGGCGGGGTCGCGGTGTGGGCGTGGCCTCCCCTGCTCTGCACCCGGGCTCCTCCAGCTTCCTCCTTGCAGACAGAGTCCCCCACATCCCTGGGAACCCCGCTGCCCGCTCGCAGATACGTGTAACCAGCTCACTCCGTTGTTGACCGCCCCCCGCAGCCTGGGGCGCTCCCTGGGACCCGCGCAGACCCCGGCAGGAGGGCGGTGCCAGGTGCTGGCTGTGGGTGTGAGCCAGCGGGGGTGCCCCCGCGCGCCCCAGCCCCTCGCCGTGCCCTGCCGACTCCACCCGCTGTTCCCCGCCAGGCAATAAAGGAGGTGATGCGCCCACGGTGCGGCTGCGAGGGCTTTTGTTCTGGAAGCGCGTCCCAAGGTCCCTCCCCACCCCCACCACCAACACACTGCTGGTCCCGGGGTTGTCCATGGATCCCTCTGGCCGCGCAGCCCCTCCTGGGAGACCAAGAGGTGGTGGCCTGGGGCTCCATGTCCCACCGACGGGCACAGCAGACAGTGCAGAGGGGCCTAGGCTGGAGGGGCAGCAGGGTCCCAGGCCGCGACGGGGAGGGGGACCATCTCGGAAGCTTGCCTGCCCTAGCGCCCCCCCCCCCCCCCCCCCCCCCCCCGCGCAGCAAGCCCGCCCACGCTGTGTGTGTGTGTGGGGGGGGGGGGTTCCTACAGTGGCCCCGGCTCCAGGCCGGGCTCCCGGGCCTGCTGTGTTCGGAGGAGCCTGGCCCCCATGCCCGGCCCGGGGGTTGGAGGGGATGCTGCTGCCCTGGCTGTGGGTGCGGGGGCAGGCGCTGGGCGCTATGCCCACCCCCCAGGCCCTGGGACGGCAGGAGGCAGCGTCCACAGGGACATGAGGTCAGGTCGGGAGGAGGCCAGGTCCCTGCCCCGTGGTGGTGGGAAGGGTCATCCAGGTTCGGGGACTGGGACCCCCTGGAGGGGAGCTGACAGCAGGTCCCTGAGCGCCTCCTGATTGGGGGGCATGAAGGAGAGCTCGGTGAGCCTTCCTCCTGCAGGCAAGGAGGCTGCACCCACAGGCTCCTGCCCCCCGCCCCCGCCCCCGCCCGGCCAGGGCAGGCCTCTGGGAACACGGGTGGGGCTGCCTGGCTCAGGGATTCACCCCCCCACCCGCCCGGACCCCGGGATCAAGGCCTTCGATGCTGACCAGCGTGGCCGCCTCCTGTGTGCGTGTTATGTGCACTGTGTGAGAAACCACCACAGCTCGCGGGGTGGACATCACACGTTACCGTCTCCCAGTGTCTGGCGGGGAGGCCAGCCCACGCCCCTCCGCAGGTCCCGGGGGCTGGGACCCAGGTGGCCGGGGGGGCTGGACGGCGAAGAAGCTGCTTCCAAACTGACAAGCGGCTAGCAGTCCTCGCCCACCGGTACAGGGGCCTGGTTCCTGCCGGCAGCGTTCACTGCCCCTGGGCAAGGGGGGGGGGCCCTCCTGGCTGCTCCCCTCAGTCCCGCCCCCCTGTGTGCACTGTATTGGTTACAAGGAAGGACAGGCTCCCCTTGGGGCTCCGCAGGAGGGGGTTCCAGGAGGTGGCACCCCCAGAAGGGGCCACGTTAGGGAGCCCCCTTCCCCCCTCATCCCCCCACCCCCCGCATCTCTCAATCCTCATCCATCAGGGCTCTGGGGAGGGGCTCTGCCATCCAGGCGGCCACTGAGGTGGGGCCCCCAGACCAGAGGGCAAGGCCTGGGCTGGCTGAGGCCCCCGGGACGGGGTGGACAGGCCTGGGCAGCAGGTGGGGTGGGTGGTGTCCGCTCCCGGCCCCGCTCGGTCAGTGCAGCTCACACACCGACCAGCCCCAGCCGCCCGCTGCCCTGCAGGCTGTGTGGGTCCGGCACCCCCGCAGGTCCGTGCCCGTGGTGGGCGTCAGGTGAGCTCTGGGAGCACCTCCTCACAGGCAGGATGCTGGTATCCGAGGAGTCCCACCCGACCCCCCAGCTCCCCAGGGGCAGCGTGGACTTGGGGGGCAGGAAGGGCCAACCCCGGGTGTGGGGGAGCGGGACCCCGGTGTCTCCTCGCTTCGCTTCCTCAGCGTCCGCTGCCCCTGGGCCCCTGAGCCAGCCCCAAGCACCACCCAGCCTCCGTGACCAGGGGCCTCCGCTGGGCGGTGGGTCGCAGCCCGAGTCAGAAGCCAGCAGGCGGGACAGGCGTCCGATCCGAAGGGCTGGAACCGAACGCAGACCCTGCCTCTGCAGCCAGGTGCAGGCGGTTCCGGTTCCAGGGTAGGGTGCGTCCAGGCCGTCCCAGCGGGGCCACCCTCCCCCAGCTCAGCCAGGTCCTCCTCACTCTACCCCCTCCCCCCCCACCACACACACACACACACACACACACACACACACACACAGTCCTGGGCCACCTCCCCCTCCAGCCCCGCCCACAGGTCTGGGTCCCGCTGCCATACCAGGAACTGCCCAGGACACACCTGGGTCATTGGGGGCCAGTCCTTCTGCTCCTGCTCCCCCACTCCCAGCCAATGGCTCTGGCAAATACCAATGCCCAGGTTCCTGGGGGCTGGGCATTGAGGGGAGTCAGTGGCTCCATGCAGACACGCGGGGCCCGGCTGCCATGGGGACTGGGGCTCCTCACAGGGTCGGGATTTGGACTCCGGCCACGGGCTAGACCCACACAGACTAGGAGACGCACATACTCTGAAGGCCCCACTTCTGGGCCAGGATTGCAGTTCTGTGGGAATTAAGAGGCATCCTGGAGGGCTCCCTGGAGGAGGTGGGGGTTAGGGGGCCTGTATTTGGACAACAGGAGAACAAACAGTTCACAACACTGGGCATTGGGCAGTCTCGACCCTGACCAGGGCTTGTGGGAAAGGGGCTGCTTGGAGCCCAGATGGGGGACAGACCGGGAGGACTGGGGGGGGGGGGAGACAGCGTCCACCAGAAGCTGTGCTGGCCGGGAGCCAGGCAGGGCTGGGCCTCAGCCCTGCCACACGCAGTCCTGGCCCTGGGCCTGTCCGTCCAGGCCCACGGCGTAGCGGGAGCTCCAATCTCGCTCGAACAGCTGCCGCAGCTGCTCCTGCACCGAGCTCAGCCGGGGCCGGGGCCCAGAGGCCCGCTGGCTGGCCACCAGGCCCACGCCCGACGTGCTGCTGAAGTAATCTTCCGACCAGTTGGAGGTGCCTGGAGGGGGTGCAGGAGAGATGCTGGCGCCTGGCCTGGCCCAGCCCCGGGGGACGGGGATCACGGGGCTGGTTTCGTGCCCTCAGGAGCCGCACGGAGACCCTCTGGTCTGAGAGCCACGCCCCCCGTCCCCCTCCGCGGGTCTGTGGCCTCTGTGTGTCCCCCCACTCACAGGGGCCCTCACAGACAAGGGTCTGCGGGCCCAGGCTGGCCCTGCCCACAGACCTGCCCGGGCTCACCTATGTAGGCCGTCTTCTCCGTGACCATGAACTTGCTGTGACTCATTCTGCTGAACGGGATGTTGGAGTGATTCCCCACAGGCATGATGAAGACTTTCTTTGGGGACAGAGAGGGAGTGTGTGGAGAAGGGGAGGAGGAAGAGGGAGAGGAGGGGGGAGGGAGGAGGGGGAGGGGGAGGAGGGGGCGGGGACGGGAAGGGCAGAGGCCGTCCGCTGGGGACTGGGTCCTCACCACGTCCACGGACACGTTGGCTGCGGGGTTGCTGAAGGCCTGCAGGGACCGCAGGTAGGGGAACATTCTGGGGTCCGTGTGCAGCGAGCAGCTGACCAGCAGGCGCACCTGCACGTGCCTGCCGAAGGCTGCCTCCCGCAGCGCATTGTCCAGCACCGGCCAGTACCTGCGGGCGCAGAAGGTCAAGGTCCTCGGGCCAACTGGGCCCCGCCCGAAAGGCCCTGGCCGGAGGGGGACGTGCCAGGAGCTGCTGTGGGCAGAGCGGGTCTCCCCTCCGGGGCCATGGGCTCCCACCCACCTGGGCGGGCGGCTGAAGCGTGTGGTGGGAAAGTAGTCCATCACCGAGACGTAGAGGAACCGCCGGGCCGCCCCCATCACCGCCAGCAGCGCGTCCAGGTCCCGCGTGCGGCCGTGGGGGCAGAGCGCAGGCGGTGAGGCCTGTCGGGGGGCAGGGGGGAGAGGTCCCTGAGGGCGCTGCCCGCTGCTCGGAACCACTCGGCTCCTGGACCTGGGAGCCCTCCCTGCAGCCACCCTCCAGGATTTGGGGTCCAGGAGGAAGATGGGGTGCTGCCTAGAGAGACGGGAGGGGCTGAGGGGCCCTGTCCAGGCCAGGCTTCCCACCTGCCCAGGGCGACCCCCTGTCCAGGGTCATGTCCCCGCCCTGACGCCAGGTCTCTGCTCTGGACCAGCCCGGGGGCTGAGGGCATCTGCTGGGAGCATGGCCGGCCGCGGGGCTTCCTTCCGACCCACAGAGCGACAGGACGGCGGGATGAGCTGGCCCCGCAGCCCCCCTCCCCTGTTTGGAGTCCCCCCAGACACCTCTCAGGCTGCCTGTCTCCTGTGGGTGCTGATAGCTGCCTCCCCTGGCACTGCCTGGGCCTGCCCTCCCCCAGACACAGCCCACCGGCGCCCCCACTCCCCCCCAGGACCCCGCAGGTGCGTGGGACCGCGGAGCAGGCCAGGGCGGGGCCGTCCCTGTGGGTCCGGGCGACGCTCTTACCGAGAAGTAGGCTGTGGTGGGCACCCCATCGAAGCGGGCCCGCAGGGGCTGGAAGTGGTTGATGTGGGACGAGAAGTTGTGAGGCCAGTGCTTGGGGAGCACAGCCCGGGGCGCCCCCAGCACCCAGTAGGTCTGGAAGGTCTTCTCCAGGTCCCGGGCCAGGTGGCTGCAATTGTGCACCACCACCCCCAGCTCCTTCACCTGCGGGGCGAGCGGCTGTGGGAGGCCCGAGGGCAGGGGTGCGGCCCCCACTAGCAGCCCCTACCCCCCGCATTGCCACGAGGAATCCCTAACGGACAGGGTGCTGGGAGCGTGGAGTGGGGTGCCCGGCGGGTCCCTGTGTGCCTTGAACGTTGCTTCCAAGGATTGAGGCCACACAGGTTTCCTTCCGAAACGCCCGGAAACGCGTAAAGCGGGAAGGGGAGAGCCCGCTCCTCCTCAGGGTCAAGGCCAAGCACGGTGACCGTCCAGCCGCGTTTGACGGCGTTAATGCGTCGATTTTCCTACAAGGGACCAGGCTGTGCCGTCTGTGTGTTTGCCTGGATGGAGGCACCAGTTAAGTGAGGTTCCACAGCCCTGGCCGGCAGGGCCCAGTGGTTGGAGCGTCGCCCTGCGCACCAAAGGGCCATGGGTTCGCTTCCTGCCCCCGGTTGGGCTCGCTCTCTCTCTCTCTCTCTCTCCCCCCCTCCCTCCCTTCCACTCTCTCTGAAAA